AGCGTTTCCAAATTAAATGCTATAAAATTGAATTAAATACTACAAACATCTACTGAGCATTTCTATGAACAAGCTGATACAATTTATAGACAGAGAGGAAAGCTATTACGTGTGAAATATCTGAGATAGTGCTTTCAGTCAGAGCAGGCATTATTAAACTAGATGGATCTGTTGTCTGACTCAAAATAACACATTCCTATATTCCTAACTAAAATGAACACTCACATCCGAAATTTATCAATTCACAGAGATCAATTTGAATGAAAAAGATTTAATCCTGTGTAAAATAACCCTCTAAAATGGATCACACCTGAAGTGTGATTATAGCATGGAAATGCACTGCTAATAAAAAGAGAAAAATGCATGGTGTTTGGGTTCCTGTTTTAATGGCAAATTGAAAGGGCACAAGTAAGGGAGCAGCTTAGAAACCTATTCTACACTTCCCTAATTGACAGATATGTTCCCTAATTTTAAGTAAATAAAGGCAACAAAATTTCAGCTCACTGCTTGAAATCAAGATATTTACAATGAGTTAAAAGCTAGCAAAGGTTATGTTCAATACTCAGAGCTACAGATTTGTTTATGTGCCTTTAAGACTAAAAAACTGCATAGCAGGGCTATCTCTTACCTGAGGCATAATCTACAAGAGCACACAATTATTACCAAACAATAAGCTTGCAGAGAAAATGCCTTTCTTTGACGCAAATAAAAATAGTTCTGAAGATATGCTGTTTTACTTACTTACTAGCAAAGGTGCTTTATTTTAGCCCTATTACTCATATTTATATAGTGTATCTCTATTAAAATAAATTAACCATAACTTAAGTTTCTATGCCCCAGGCTAGATGAGAACATCCGTATCATGCAAGCTAGAGTGCTACACACTGCAGGGCTAGCAAAACATTTATTAATATATGAGGCATGTTTAAAAGCAAGTCTATCAAGCCAAAGACCAAAATCAGATGTTTCTTACAATTAGATAACCGGTAGGTTTGAAAGTGTGTGTGTGTGTGTGTAAACAAAGCATCTATATCAGAATCTCATGGCTAAACTACACAGAATACATAATATCAAAACTCATCTTCTAACTTTCATACAATGAAGATGCATATATAATAGACTGGAAGCTATTAATTAATAAAATCTGAGCAGATAATAAAGTAAGAATTTAACATTTTCCTCTCTTACTGCAGTCTGGAGTTTGGCTTGGTGTTTTTAAAATCTGTCTCATGATAAGCACCCACCCACCAGGCAGTTGTGAATCACTGATATAGTTAATGAAGGCAGGCATCACCAGTAAACATATAGAGCATACACTCCACAAGTAATGCTGCCTTTTAATTATAATGCAGACATGACATATTTGAAACCTGTACTTGAAAGAGATAAAAGTTGTGCTACCTGTTAGTAATACATTCTTTCACAACAGGTGTCCTATCAACAGGTGCAGAAGAACATTGTTGTGAAATGCACAGTGCATGTTTCAACAAGAACTGTCAGTATTTAGCAGCTTGCCTTAAAAGACAAATTGAACAGTAAAATAAAATCTTGCCACAACTAATTCAGGAAGAAATATTTATGGAGCGATTCTGATGTTTATATACTCAAATCTCTTGTCCTAAGAAAACATGTAACGATCAAAATGGGACATCTTGTATTCATTTGATGCATTGGTGGTTTAATTCCATGAGGTAAGAACCAGCTGGTAGTTTCTGTAATCAACTATACAAATAAGCATGGTTACTCAGTAAAATGATTTTTTTTTAATTTCAGGATTGGAAAGTAGAGATTTCCAAATTGCTAGCCCCCTGGAACTATTTTGAATTTCAGCTTAACCTTTGGAAGGTCACAAATACCTTGAACTCTGTTATACATCTCGTAAGGTATTAAAGAAAACTCACATAACCACAGCAGAAAGAAATATAAACAATCTCTGAGAGTTCACAAATTTTAGCTAAGGATGAATCACTTAGATATTTTAATAAGATCAATTTCTTACATAACAGCCAGTTCCATTTTTGTAAACTGTTTCACTGTAAATTTCAATCATCTTTCATACAGTATATGTTAAAACTATTTTTTACTTCAAACATTAAGGATCAGCTAAACTTTGAAATGTGAAATTACTATGTGACATCTGGCCTAGGACATTTATTATTCAAAATGTACTTCATGCAAAGAATTATATATTTCATCCAGTATTGTCAAGCCATTATACATCTGGCAATCTATAGTTTAAGATCTCAAATATTTTCAACTGATCTGATATCAAAACCACTACTGAACTTCAACACACAAAGTAAACTTAAACAAATGATTTTTTTCTTCAGCTTCAATATCACCTTCCTCTTATTCTCTAACAATTACCTTTATTCCACAAACATTCTAAATAGTACTGGAAAAAAATACTTTGAGGAAAAATATGAACTTTTGAGAGAGGAATATTTTTTCCCCATCTACTAAAGGTAAAGGTAAAGGTTCCCCTTGCAACATATCTGCTAATCATTCCCGACTCTAAGGGGCAGTGCTCATCTCCTTTTCAAAACCGAAGAGCCAGCGCTGTCCAAAGATATCTCTGTGGTCATGTGGCCAGCATGACTAGACGCCAAAGGCGCACGGAACTCTGTTACCTTCCCACCAAAGGTGGTACCTATTTTTCTACTTGGATTCCATCTACTACTTACATTAAAATATCAATAACTTCATGGACAGATGAGGACAATTGTTGTTTTCTTTTTAAAAAAGAAATTTCTAAATATTTATTTTCACATTATTTTAATGCAGACCACTAATTTCTGTTTGTTTCTCAGATATCCCAAGGTTGGACTAAGGTTGGACTATGTTATAACTAATGAAAAATAAATACTTGAAAATAGCCATTTCCTGTTATTTATACTTGTTCAAAACATGCTGGGATCACAAACACAATATTTTTGCAATTGAGAAGAACAGACCATGAAAGATCCAAAAGGATGGCCAAAACATCAAGCAAACTTTAGTTTCTATTACCATTTAACATTTTAAAGCCACAAAAATTTGGACATTAAGAATGGAAAACTTGATTAATATTCTATTTAAAACAATTTTGAGTTACATTTAAAATTAGCCTAATAAGCCAAACACTGTTATCTATCAGAAGATAACTATTGTAAAATTATACAATTATATGAATGGTAGTTGAATATAGTAATCAAAATTCATTTGATTTATATTTATAAGTTGTTTATTTCTTCGAAAATATTTTTCTAATACTGACTGCAATACTAGCTGTCCATTGCTTATAATATAACCTTTAATCATGAAAGGAAAAAATATTGAACACCCTCAAAAAGCATTTTTTTCCAAAGGAAAAATTAGTTAAATGAGCTACCAAATCAATAAAATTGCTCAATACTTGAGCCATTCCTGTAAAGAAAGGGAAATATCTTTATGAGCAAGGCTCTAGTTTCAAGAAAATTACATCTCATTCAAGTTTCGATTCAACTTGTTCAGTTTTCACCTGTTTCACTTAACATCTCTAATAACAGGTGGAATAAAACCACATAGAACAAAGATATGAGTAATATTAAAGTAATATACATCCTACAAGTTTCATCAAGCAGCAACAGGCTTTGTTAAGTAGATGTGGAAAACTTTTAACTCTTAAAACTTTGCCAACATGAAATATAACATGTTTCTTTTTCTTCTTCTTTTAAAGAACAAAGAAAAGCACCTACGTGAGTTTTCTTTCTACTAATAGGAAAATTAGTTTCACTAATACTACAGTTTCACATAATCACATAAGATTTCTATAGTTGAAGATAGAGCAAGTAAGATTTTGTTTTTATTTTCTACCCTTGAGTTTAGAAAATAAACATGTGTACTTCAATCTGAGACCCAACCTGTTGAGATATGCCCCAACATACTAGCACATCATAAGCAGACAAAGCCCCCTACTCTAATACCTCTTTCAGTAGCTATTTAATGGCTGTAGTTTGTTCTTATTTGTAAAAGAACTCAATAAGTCAATGGTTTTAATAATGAACAAAGCAGAGGATGAATAGAAGAATATTATTTTTTAATCATCTTCTTCATCACTGAATCCATTGTAATACACACAAAATGGATGTGATGGCTACACATAATAGGCAGCTGGCCATAAAAACTTCACAAGTTTAGGCCAATATATAAAATATATTAATAAACCAAAAGTTTCTTAAAGTTAATAAGTAGCACATAAACTAGTTTTTCAGTTCAGGTATCATAGATTAGTAGTTGAATAAACCAAATGAGAAGTGTGAAAGCTACATATTGCAGGAAAGAGGGAGTACATAGGAATACATATCATTCTCAGACTAGTGATCAATGTACTACTATATGTTATATTGAGATGTCTAACTCTTTATTTCAGCTGGTTTGTAAATAGTGTCACATTCAAAACTAAATAAGTGACTAATAATGTCCATGAATTATTATTATCTAAATCTATTTGTCAGTTGATATGTGCAATCCTTTGTCTTGTTTAACTTTTGCAACAAAAATAAATATTCTTTAGGGACGTTGCATCTTATACTGCTGGAGAGTGACTGGTCGAGCTAGCGAGTGGGATCAAATGAGGAGTTAGTCTAGAATCCCTACATAAGGATAAGAGGTTGAGGTCTGACTGCCCTTGAAGCAAACCACCAGTCTAAGAAGATTTCTGTATTATAGGCTTGCACATACTATAAATAGCTAATTGAACTCTTTTTGAGTGTGGATCTGATGGTTTATGTCTGACACATATGGGCCCAAAGAGCTCCAGTACTTTTCATCATTGTACACGGTAAGACCTTTGCAGATTTCCCTTGCCAGATACACTGACGCCTTCTCCGATACAACTAAGAGTAGCAGAGGAATTTTGTTCTGTGTCCTGGCAGCCACATATAATTTGGAAATACTTCCAACAATTAAGGGAGTTGCCACAGTTAATAATAGCATTTAAAAAAGAAAAAATGGGATTATCTTTGAAAACAATTGTTTACCAGGGCTTGAAGCATGCCATCCATTACAAAAGTCCCCTCAATGGTCTGAAAAGAGGATTTAGATAATGTTGAAAGGGTCCAATCCAGGAAGTCTGCCATTCTTTTTTGTCTGACATCAGGGCGGGTAATAAACCTACATACAAAGAAAAAGTACACACGTTGCAAGTTACCTATTCAGAGCAATTCAACTGGTAACAAATTTTTCCTATTAGCCAAACTGGTTTTTTTTTCCTGAAGGCAATTGTCCAATGGATGCTTTCCAACATATTTCAATTGGAAACATTCCAATGTCAGTTCTTTAACTCTATCTTTTCTAAAGGTGGTCATAATGCAGAAATATGAATTGTCACAGTACACATCAAATCATCTTGAAATGGTGGAGGAAAGGAAAATAGAAATTCAATTTCTATCATTTTTTTGAAAATAGGCTTTAAAATATATATTTCCCATGTTCCCATAACACAATTTTCAGAAAAGAAGTAACTTTCTCCAAATCTTTTTTTCCTATTAGTAGGGAAGATAAATCTTCCTCAAGCTGATCTCAATGCAGAGTGATTCTATGGACACATTCATATAGTTTTCTTGGTAGGAATATGGAATTTATTGAATGGTTATTGAACCCTTTGAATGGTGTGGGAGTAGGAATGGATTTCCAGAGAAAAAAATGCAGACTACAGGACTCAGATGACCCTGAGGACACAGATACACTTCCAAGTGCTTCAACGAATCCTTCCATTCCCCACTATCCTGTCAGAACTGAAGAAGCTTCTTGGATGAGAAGCAAAACGTCTTCAAAAGAAAAAAACAAGAAAGTCCAGTTGCCTCCTGAAAAAGCACCTTTAGGACAATATGGAAGTTATTTGTAATTAACTTCTTCCTGTTTTTTGCTTTTTGGATTTCTTTTACCTTTCCCAATTAGCTTACAGTTCAGAAATGTCCTGATGATTTCCCATTCAAATATTAATGTCCAACCCTGAGGTTGTTTTTTTTTTCTAATTAGCTAAGTTTGCATGGACCTAGCTTTTATATAATGCCACCTAGTGTGACATTATATAAAAGCTAGCAGCAAAATGAGGAAGGCTGACTCTGCTTTTTTCCAGTTCAAGGATTGCCAAGGAAATTTGGAAATTACCTGATCCTGGAAGTTAAGCAGATTCAAACCTGAACTATACTTATATTGTATGCAAATTGATCTTTTATTAGAAAGCCAATATTGTTATGGTATTGGTCTGTCCCCAAGTAGACCAACATTCTAATTTATTCATAACTACAAAAGCTCACTTAATTGACTTTAAGCCAATTATTCTCTTTCAGTTCAATCTACCTCAAATGGTTACATTATAGGGAAAAATGGGCAAGGATGGAGGGGGGGGATACTATGTATCTTGGGATCCTCTATGAAAAGTTGGATATAAAGATAATGTAAAATAAATAAATAAACCCCAGGAACAAAAGATAAATTTTAAATGTGATTCTTCCAAATGAATGGTATAGGAAACTTGGATGAAATGTCTGATTTCTGGGGTATTTTTTTAACAAAAGCAATATTAATGTGGATTATGGGCTTCAATTATGCTGTATTGTTTTATCAAATATATTTTCAGTAGATTTGCAATAATTCCAGTAGATCCAAAGCAATATATAAAGTTATTTGCACAAATGTCTTGAAGTTCCCACTAGATATCACTAAAAGCATTGCAATATGCCTTTGCACTTAACATAAATTGTGCGCATTTCAAAAATGACAATGGAAGACACTTCCTGTGAGACCATGGCATCTCAAATGTCTCTGCCAAAGCAGGGCAGTGTTTATGGAATATATCAGTGGCTGATGCTGGATCCTGGATGGTGGAAATCTCTCCAGAAAAAGAAGAGATTGTGAGATTGCCCACATGTACCCTGGACAGCTGCTCCTGCTTAGACTACAAGAACTGAGGTTTTTCGGTTATTTGTGAGTTGAACAACTGGGAATTGAGAGAATATTCCACCCAAGCTCACAGTTGTAATACAGCTCAATCAAGTCCCATTTCTTAATTACCTTTGGAATTACTTTTTACTGCTTTTGAAATAATCCTTTGTGAAATATATTTTGAATGCAAATTTAAGGATTTAGAAAAATATTACTTTTTGAAATAAAAAGCAAAAAAGATGTACAGAGTGTTGATGTTGGAAGGTTCTAAATGGATTAAAGGGCCAGACGGATTTGAAATAAGAATATAAAATCAATTATAAGAAATTTTCTCAAGGAAAATTGCAGTTGTTTTGGAAAACCATGATAATATAGGACTGTGAATGTTGCACACTAGAGGGAAGTAGAAGAAATTAAAGATGACAATTAATGAAGTAGGATAATCAGATTTGACACACTAGAATAAAATGGAGCAAAATACTTAACAGTGGATCTTTTATGGAGACTTGTGAACAATAGAGTTGGAAATTAATTTTAAGAATATGCAAATGTTCTAACAAAAGAAGAACAAGCTATACCAGATAATAGATTATTTTTAATATGCATTTAAACATGATAAGTTACAAGAATGATATAGAAATGTATGGAGGGTATACTGAATATACAAATGAAACTGGATGAGGTCTTGATATTTGAAAAAGAGAAATTAAGTATTAAAACAGAAAATTTTGGATAATTTTTTTTACTAGATTTACAAAGAGATCTGTTAAAATTTTGAAGGATATTCTGAGAGGAGACCAAGAGAAGATGTAAAGAAATCAGATATGGGAAGAAAAAAACATTTGTTATATTTTAAGAAAAGGTGATGTTACTAAAATTATTTGTACTTGTCATAATGAAGAGGGAAGTTACTTCTTTGTTTTTTGTTTATATTTTATTTCTTTTTCTGCTCTTTCCATTTTTCCTTTTCAATTTTATTTTTTGTAGTCTCTATTCATTTTTATTTTTTATCATTGTAAACTTTAACAGAAATTATTTTTAAACTGATTTGGAAGATTTGCTTCAAATCTCATTAAGTATAACAGTTCTCACTTATTCATTAAGATATACACATGTTTTCCAACCTTGCACAGAAACTTGGAAAAAATTGGATGCTTTAATGAAAAGCAGAGATACAGTGTAATTGCTGTAATTAAGATCCAAAGACTTTTGAACAATTTTCAAACAATGTGACCCTAGATTATATGTTCATATTCTGTGAAATTCTACATAAAATGTTTTTAAAACCACATTTTAATATATAGTAGAACTAAGCTGTAACTTCTGAGGAATTTCGCCAATGTAATTTTTTTNAAAAAGCATTGTTAGATGTAGTTATAAAGCATTATTAAAATAATTTATAAATCTATTTATTTGTAAGGCCACTTGATTTATAACAACTCTGGGTGACAAACAATAAACATGGATTGCAAAAAATAATTAGCTAAAGAAAAAGCAAACAATAACCCACACCATGTAATTTTGTTGCTAATTTGAAACAAATAGTGTGGAGGGAAGAGGAAGAGTTGAGCTACTGAAATTATTTAACAAACTAGCTGTACCCGGCCACGTGTTGCCATGGCGCAGTCTGGGTGTAGTGGGGCGGCAGGTGGGTGCTGCCATTGGTCAGGACTCGGGGCTGCTGGGCCGGGCGAGGCTGGTTGGGGGAGACGGCGCCAGGGCTGTCGGCCTCGTGGAAGTTATTGAGCATCTCCTCGGAGGAGCTGCGCTCGGGCTCCCCCAAGTTGTTGGCCCGGGAGAGTGAAACGTCCAGGATCTCGGAGGAGGAGAAGTCCTCGGGGTGCCACCTCACAGGGCACCTAGGGGCTGCTCCAGCCCCGCTGCACCTCAGGCCGAAGGTTGGAGCCACCTTGGCGAGGCCATAGCTGGCTCACTGTGAGGGGATGTGTGGAGAGCGTGCGTGGGCTGGCCGGGCTGAGGAGACGCTCCGCCTCCGCCTCCTCTCGAGCTCTGCTGGGTTGGCCGGGGATAGGCCAGCTTAAGGGCGGGGGGGAGGCAGCCAAGAGATGGCACAGGTGGCGCCCTGCCGCAGATAGCAAAGTCCCTGTGGAAGGGGAGAGGGGAGGGGGAGGCCGAAGGGCTTCGGTTCCATTTGGCGGAAATGGCAGAAACTCATCAGAGGAGGAGCGGAAAGGGGAAACGGTGCGTCCATAGCCCAGCCACACATATAAAGGGACTGTCAGGACGAAGCTGGAGAGAGGCCGAACTGTTCTGAATATACTATACTCACTAAATGAACACTATGGTAAACAACACAGCTCAATTCCAACACAATGTCACACGAAATAATTAAATCAAAATGAAAATAAATCAAAATCTATGAAAATTCAATATAACAATGCAATNTTGTATCAAGCACAGGTCCTCCTGAACCGACAGGGCTGCCAACTCCGAAATACACCGCGCAGAAGAGATGGCAATCAAGAAGGCGGTTTTGAAAGTCAAATGTTTAAGTCTGGCGGATCAAAGCGGCTCAAATGGTGGGCCAATCAGGGCCCGTAACACAACATTGAAGTCCCATGACAGGTACCTGTGGACAACCGGGGGGCCTCAGGTTGGTCACACCCACAGGAAACTACGAATAGTGGGGTAGCAACCAAGAGACGAATGTTCATCCGGAGCAAGAATTGTGGATAACGCAGCCACCTGACACCTGAGTGTATTAGGCCCTGATCTAGTCCATCTTGCAAGTAGTCCAATATCTGTGGAATCGTAGCCAAGGTCACCGTCACACTATGAGTTGTACAACAGGTGTCAAAAGATCTCCAAGTGGCATTGTATATCTTGGTCATGGAGGGCCGTCTGGACGCCTGAATGGTGTGAATGACCTTGGTGGAGTCTGCCCCTGCTCAGGAGGTCCCTCTCAAGTGCCAGACAGCTAGCCGTAGCCATTGGGGCTCTGGATGTTGCAGTGGCCTCTGGCTGAGAGAGACCTCGTGTTGGGGAATCCGTCATGGGGGATTGACAGAGAGACTCACCAGGTCGGCGAACCAGGTTCTTCTGGGCTAGAACGGGGCTACAAGCAGGACCTCCGCTCCTTCCAACAGGATCTTCCTGGTCACCCTGGGGAGGAGAGGCAATGGTGGGAACACATATAGAAGTCCTGATGGCCACGGGCAGTGAAGAGTGTTGACCCCTTCGGCTTGCGGGGTGTGGAACCTGGCAAACAACCTGGGAAGGTGTGTGTTCTCCAGGGTGGGGAATAGGTTGAGTAGTGGTCGGCCGAACCTCTGAGATAGTTGGTAGAACAGGTCCGGATGTAGACGCCATTCCGAGTGGCCGACCGTAGACCTGCTCAGTCAATCCGCTTGGATGTTGTTGACCCCAGAAATGTACTCCGCCTGTATTGAGATCAAGTGTTTCTCCACCCATCTTCCCAGGGAGTCAGCCTCTGCAATCAGTGATTTGGATTGTGTGCCCCCCTGGCGGTTTATGTGCGCCTTTATCGCCACATTGTCTATAAGCACCATCACATGATGACCTTGGATGTCATTGAGGAAGTGAAGGAGAGTGAGCCTCACTGCTCTCAACTCCAGCCAATTGATGCTGTGTGTTGTCTCGGGAGTTGACCGCCTGCCTTGTGCAATCTGTGTAGGTGGGCTCCCCAGCCGAAGAGGCTGACATCCATTGTGATGGTGAGATGGTCCGGTTCCTTGAAGGGAGTACCTTTCACCAGGGCGGGAGACAGCCACCACTTGAGGGAGTGACGTATCTTCGTTGAGACCTGCACCATCGCCTAAGAGTTGCTCTTGTTGGCCCTCTGGTAGGGCAGAAGGAGCCACTGTAGGGGTCAAGAATGAAGCCTCGCCCAAGGCATGATGGAAAGGCAGGAGATCATCTTCCCTAAGAGTTGGATAACTGCACAATATTGGCGTGAGAGGACTGCTGCACCTGCAGAACCCGTTCCTTGAGGCTCGCCACCCATTCTGGTGACAGGAAAACCTGACAACTCACGGTGTCGATGATGGTGCCTAGGTGCTGCAGCCTGGTTGTCGGTTCTAGATGGCTTTTTTCCCAGTTCATTGAGAACCCGTGGTCTTGAACGATTCTCATTGTGTAACTCAGGTTTTGCGTCACTTATTGGCATGATGACGATTGTATGAGCATCCAGATAGCAGTGGAGTAGCACTAGATGGGATCTGAAGAAGGCTGCCACCACTGCAAGGATTTTTGTAAATGTTCTGGGGGCCAATGACAGGCTGAACGGCAAGGCCCTGTATACTGGTAGTAGCTGCCTGCATAAAAGAATCTCAGGAACTTGTGGTGGGTCTTGCGAATAGGGACGTGGAGACAGGCCTCTTTGAGATCTATGGATGTTAGTGGATCCCCTGGCCTGATGCAGCCCAGGATTGACTGAAGGGACTGCATCTTGAACCTCCTGTAAGCTATATGGTGGTTTAGCTTTTTTAAATCTAGGATTCCCCTCCACCCCCTGGAATTCTTTGAAACTAGGAATAGGATGGAACAAAAGCCTGTCCCCTCCTGACCTGGTGGAACCAGTTCTATGGCCCTGATGTTCCTGAGATGAAGGGTTTCCTGTTCCATGAGAGCCGTCTTGACCAGACATGAAGGGGTAGGGAATCGAATGAAGTGATGAAGAGTGGGGAGAGGAACTCTAGGGTCAGACCTATGCGAATCGTTTGGGTAGGGGCGATGTAAGGACCCGGAGCTGGTGGACTGGTCCGACGTGATCTGCTCCCATTGGGTGTGGAACAGTTGAAGATGCCCTCCTATGGGAGCAGTCTGTTGGTGGTCACTTATATCGCCTGAAGGGCCTAGAGCCATACCCCCCTTGGAAAGGGTGTTTAGAAAAGTTCTGCTGGCGACCCCTGTCACAAAAGAGCAGACGGTCCTGGGACCTATCCATGTTCTGTGGGTAGGAGCGATGGAAGGACCCGGAGCTGGTGGAAGGCTCCGTGTTCCAAAAGGACTNGTGTTGCTTTTACATCCACCAGATGGTGCTGGTTTTCAAAAAAGCATGTTTTTACAAAAAATCACGTTTTTACCTGTCACAGGCATCTATATAATATACATTCACATATTCAAATGCAATGTTGTGTCAAAATTTCAAAGCAATTGGTGAAGAACTTTCGGAGATTAATGATTTTGAACAAATAACCATTACATTTTTATTTATATAGTTGTTGACGTTATGTCAAAACTTTTAATTGTTCTGCATACTCTTAATACAACAGAGAAATGCATTTGATTTGTTTACTGATCTATCTTTTATTGCAGTCTCAAATTATCCCATTTGGACACATTATGCAAGACCAAGCTCTCTAGAGGTAGTTCTAATGCTGGAAAGAAGATGATGACCAGCAAAAAAAGGTCTCAATTACAGTGGTAAGAGGTCCACTGTTAGAAGATCTGAAATACCTGATTAGGAACAGGTCATCATGGAGGAAATCTGTCATTACTAAAAGTCAACACCAACTTGATGGATGATTATGATGATACTTTACAGTATTTACTGACTCTTATTAACATAAAAAGAATCCTATTAAGACAGATGATTTGATAGAAATTTCTAATAACCCAGCTAATGCATCTCTCTTTTTACCACAGTTATGAAAAGTACTGTATTTAATTTGGAATAACTGATTAATTTTCCATGGTACTGAAATATTTGAATGTCTTTTACATGTACACTTATTTCTTATAGTAATAGTGCAGCACTTTAAAGACTGCAGCCAGGACAATATCACTAAAAGGGGTAGGGGAGGTATCAATATACTCCAAGGATGCTCAAATAAACCAATATTTGTGGGATGGGGATGGGGAAGAGGAGATGAAGAATCAGTCATATGTGATCTGATTATACTTAGTTGTCTCCGAAAGCCATGCAATTGTGGGAGTTAATCAGAAAACATTAAGAAAAATGACAATGTTAAGGATTAAAGTTATCTTTCTTAGGCTCTCTTACTTATAACAAAGCTTAATATGGCAGCCATCATCAGGCTTTTCTCCCATTCTACCCTCCGACAGCACAGGTGGAGACTAAGAAAACCTCATAGTAATCTTTCTTGGAAGCAGAGTGACTCCAAGAAACTACCACCTTCACTAAGAAAAAGAAACAAGTCTGGGGGCTCCATATTTCTACATGTTTTGTTACCCAAACTTGGTGACTACAACCTGATTTCCCCATCCTTCGTTAAACATATAAATAGCATTTACACACAGAGGCACACCGGCCCTACACAACATACTGTTACTGACCAATTTGCCATATTGTCATTGCTATTGGCAGGGGTCGCATATAAAAATACTTTTACGCAACTTTGGCCCTGAGAGAATTCTGAAGGCTTACCCCTTCTTTATATCCCTTCTTCGATATACAACTGTAACAGAGTCTGACCATTATGATTGTATGTCAACAAATTTTACAATCTTTTTTATGGCGGTCATTAAGCAAATGTGGTGATCATTAAGCGAATCAATGATTCTGCATGAGCATGGTTTTGCCGAAAATCCGAAGAAACCGCTGGTTTTTGGCAAAACCTTCATAAAACATGATCACATATATCCCAGATGCTGCAAATGACCATAAAGGTGGCTGTTCTGCCAAGCACCCAAAGTTCAGTCAAATGACCATGAAAAAAACCTGGCCATCGGAACTTCAATCCCCTTTCTGGGATCATAACTTGACCAGTGGCTAAAGGGATGATCTTAAGTCAAGGATTATCTTAATGAAGAAAACAGGAGTTGGCATTATTAATAAACTTACTTTTTGCCCTGAAGCTAATTCTCTTGTTGCTATTGTGTATATTGACTTACTATATTTTTCAGCATATAATACCAGCGAATGTTGCCCACCCATCTGCTGGCCCCCACCCTTTGGCTATTTTTTGCCTCTGTGCATCACGTTTTTGGCCTCCGCAACTCCAATTTTAGACCCATTCCAGGCTGCGGGGATACCCACAGCACAACGCCGCAGATAGCCGCCTCTGCGTGTTGCATTTTTGGTCTCCGCGCGTCATGTTTTTGGCCTCCGTATGCCTCATTTTTTGCCTCCACACGTTGCATTTCTGGACCACTCCAAGCAGCAGGAATTGGCGATGGCAGCAGCATGCTGAAGCTGACCAGGCTGTTTGCTGTTTGCTGCAAGGACACTAGCCAGGTGAATACCAATGGATGCAGGTATGCAGATGCAGAATTTTTTTTCTTGTTTTTCTCCCCCAAAACTAATGTGTGTCTTATACTCCATAGTGTCTTATACGCCAAAAAATATGGTAAGTGCTTATGTATTCATGTTGCAAATGTATTTTAACAAATAAGTCTAGCCTTATTGATAATGTTTTTTTTTAAAGTTTCACATTTTTCTCTATCAGCATAAGAAACTTACTTTGAGACCAGGACTGCAGCTGCATCACGAGACTTATCACTTACAACAAGGTATGACTAAAAATAAGAAGAGATTTGAATTGCATTTTGTTATATTAAAATTGATCATACAAAGTAAATTATATAAACAAAATTCAGTGTGTGTGTGTGTGTGTGTGTGTGTGTGTGTGTAAATCAAGATGCATGAAAAGTTGAAATTTGAGAAGGATAATTTTAAAAACTACATTCCTATATAGAATGTTAAGCTAGCATATAAATAAACTGCCAAAAAGTCTGCAAAATTCAAAGATGTGGAGGATAGGCACTTGTAAACAAAACTGTCTTCAAAATTGCTCTAGGAACAGTTTATTTTAATTGCCCACTGCATTTTCTTTTTCAACATTTATATGCATAGAATCAGAAAATGCATGTTTCTAAACAAAATACTTGTTTTAAACTCTGCAACACTCTACAGTGTTAGTAAAGGATCATGAATTAGAAAATAAAGTATGCAATATCAAAATAAACGACACCTTCGTTATCAAAGCTGATTCTATAAATGAGATTTCCCTCCCCCATCAGTATACAATAAGTTTGAATGATTATTATGATAATTTGTGTAACAGGATTAAGCAGGAAAAAAACTATGTTTAAGTTACAATCACGTTTTTAAAGTGAAAGAAACCATTCTATAAATCATGATTTTATGCAATTATACCTACTTTTGCTACTGCCAGAATTCGATCCATTGTTGATACACGAGGGCATCCTTCTACAGAAGAGATATTTCCATCTAGCCGTGCCAAATCAAATGGGATCAAACATGTTACAGATAACCACAACAAGAGCATGTAACGAGTCTCCCAGGTCTAGCAAGACAGAAAAAGAATAAAATACATAGTGAATGCTCTCAGAAAACTTCCAGTGTACAGTGTAAAAACTATTTCTACTTGCAAAATCACGATAGAAAATTATCTAGATAATAAATTAAGACAAATATGAGAAAAAGGGAGGTATATTTGGTTCTATTAGGATATGGATTGTGTTGAACCCAAAGAAAATATAAACATAAACACTAGGTTTTGAAAAGATACTTTGAATGCAAAACGTTTCAATCACTTGGAATAGCTTGATACAAACTGTTCAAAGCTCAAGATATTTTGTATTTGACCTATTTTGTTTATCTCTCCCATAGATCCATTAGTAGATAAAGCACTTTTGCCATTCTGTTAAATTTTATCAAGTTAAAAGTTAATAGCTGGTAATTTTCAAACTACAACTCAAAAACAAAAAAATATTGTGACAACTGTATGCTTTTAAGCAAAATAATCAGCATTCATCAAAGCCAACCTAGATAGCATGTTACCTAGTAACAATTATTGAATCTAAACTTAGCTTGTGAGTGGGGCAGATTGTGTCTCATCATCCTAATATTGTATTTGCCTTCTGGTAAGGTTGCACCATTGGAAAGGCATCATAATATGCAAATAGAATAGGCTTGTATTCAAGCAATATAAATGAAAGCAAAGATATACTCTGATACATCAATTGCACTAATACAAATCTAACAATAGTTCTCAACAAAAGGTGCAAAGAAAGGACAGGATAGGTACATAAAATATTTTAAAGATCAATACATAAAGATGCTCATCTCCGTTTCAAAGCCAAAGAGCCAGCACTGCCTGAAGAGGTCTCCATGGTCATTTGGCCGGCATGACTAAACGCCTAAGGCGCACAGAATGCCTTCCCACTAAAGGAGGTTCCTATTTTTCTACTTGCATTTTTACATGCTTTCAAACTGCTAGGTTGGCAGAAGTTGGGACAAGTAACAGGAGCTCACTCCATTATGCGGTGCTAGGGATTCGAACCGCTGAACTGCCGATCTTTCTGATCGACAAGCTCAGTGTCTTAGCCACTGAGCCACCATGTCCCTTGATCAATACATAGCAAGGACAAAATATTCTTTAAAATCTCTATAAACATGCAAGCATACAAAATGTCAAAATTCAGCCATTTAAATGGCTGGGAGATAAAGACAAGACATTCTAACAGAAACTAACACCACAACTGAAAACATCTCTCCCCTCTAAAAAATGGATGGCTACATAAATGAATGTATAAAGCAGTTCATTCATTATAATCTCTGTAGTAATATTGACAGTAAAACCAAAGCTTGCTAATGTTTCAGCAGTCTGCTTTCAATGGGGACAGTGACAGCTATAATGGAATGATAGCATACCTCATATTCTTTTGGATTCTGAGCTACAAGCATATCTAGAACAGGCTGTACATCTGCTACTTCATGAGGAAATAATCGCAATAAGGTTTTATATCCTCGTACCTAGGTGAACAAAAGCATTTGCAGTATAATGATTCATCTCCCTTTATGGAAATGTAAAAATGAATTCAATTGTTTAATTAATATTTGACATCGCACCGGTTCTCAAGCTCAAGGAAGCTTTCAAGTTATGCATTTGCAATACAATAGGCAAACAGTTAATATTTATGTAATCAATACAATGATAAAAGTCACAAAGTATCAATAATAATAGTAGAAATATAAAGTGATTACAGTTAAACTGCTTATATGTAAGGATCTAATAAAAAGAGGGAGTTTTTAGCCTCTGTGGAGTTTATTTAAGGACTACTAACTTTTCAGTTGCAAACTATGAAAGAGCAATTCTATAAAGCTTAGTCCTTTATGATTATATCCTCTCCACAAACCACTGCAAAAGTAGACTCAGAAGTCTAAACCGCTCATTTGACAATAACTATATTATGAATGACTGTCCCACTTTTATCTAATTTGAGAATATAGCAGTAAATCCATATTACTATTATATTAAAAATTATTTTACCTTTGAAATAATGTAGAGAAACTGAAAGGCTAGATGAATTAGAAGAGGAGGAGATGCTTCATGTCGGATAATATCTAGCAACAAATTCAACATCCACTCTAGAGAAAACATAGGGAAATAGGTAAGGTGATAAAAGAAAAGTTACTTGACTTTTTTGTCTCCCGCTAAACAGACTCACAAATAAGTATCAGAATGGATTACCTAATTTGTTTCATGGAAATCACATGTTGCTGTTTCTATCTGACACAGTGGCTTTCTTCAGATATATGAAATGTTGACACATAGTAGAGGGAGAGATTGGATTTATTCCCTACCACCCAAGGGGAAAAGCCAGAGCCAAGTTTGAAGAGAATGACCATTGGTTTACCTGAAGGGTCGTTTTCTGCGCGCTGCAAAGGAGAGTTCAAGCATGGGTTAAATACAGCCAATCTGCCCAGGACTGAATTGAAACTTTAAGCCATGCCTCTGGTGCTGACCATTATCAGTTTTTTTCAATGAAGGTGTGGAACTGTTGTGCGCTGAAAATTCCGACAACAAATCCAAAGAACCATTCCAAAAAACAAGTCTGCAACTATATCCATATGGTCAGTCCAAAAGGTCTGCACAGAATAGCAGAGTTAGACCCCAGGATGGGGTTGGACTCTCCTTCGCAGCGCCCAGAAAACAACCCTTCAGGTAAGACAATGGTCATTTTCCTGGGCGCTGCTTGGAGAGTCCAAGCATGGGACATACCCAAGCTAAATGTCACTAGGGCGAGAAACTGTCGAGTTCAGGGTCTCTCCGCTGGTATGAATGCCCTGAAGGACTCATCTCCCAAAAGCCCCCTCCGCAGAAGCAAATTTGTCCAGTTTATAGTTACGAATGAACAGAGACAAGGAAGTCCAAGTGGCCACCCTGCAAATCTCTATCGGTGCCTGGGTGGCCCAGCCCGCCATGGTAGCGACGCTCCTTGTAGAATGTGCAGTGATATGGCAAGGCACCAGTTTGGACTGGAGAACGTGGGCGAGAGTAATGCATGCCCGTAACCAGCGTCCGATGGTAGACGAGGAAACTTTCCGACCTTGGGATGCAGGTTGAAAAGAAACAAAAAGCGATTCAAAATGCTGTGCGCTTGATGTATTTATGAAGCATTCTACGAACATCAAGTATGTGCCATCTTTTCTCCTTAGTATTTTTGGGATGTGGGCAAAAATCCTGAAGAATGATCTCCTGGGCCCGGTGGAACCAGGAGTTGATTTTGGGAATAAATGTCAGGTCCAGTCAGAGGATCACCCTGTCTGGTTGTATCAAGCACAGGTCCTCCTGAACCGACAGGGCTGCCAACTCCGAAATACACCGCGCAGAAGAGATGGCAATCAAGAAGGCGGTTTTGAAAG